TAAACCTGGGCTATACATTCCTTGAATTAAATCCATTATTTGTTGTCTATTCTTCATCATAGGATCCATGTCCACATATACTTGTTATTGTCCTCCCTCTTGAAATTCTGGTTGATAATGAGGGAAAGGAGGCCCAGGCCCTCTAGGTCTTGGATTCATTACATAAAGGTTCAAAATATGGTTGTTACATGATAGGCTCTTGCATGTTTTGAGGCCTTATTTGATTAGGTGGCCTAAGTCTTTGTTCTGCCATGCCATAGTGACCAATTGCAGGCCTATCAAATGCATAATTATCATGCATTTGTGGCCTTGGTTGCCCCCCAAAGTCTTGGTTCTAAATCATTTGGGTTGTAATTAAAGATTAGATTTGGGGGATATTCTCTCATTTTTGTATATTCAAAAACAAGATTTGCATTCATTCTTTCTTCATATCTTTCTTGAAGTATGGAAGGTTTTTTATAATACATGTTCATTTACAGTTGTATGTTTTTGTGGAGTTATAGAAGGACCATATTGTACCTTTTTCCTTGAGTCTCCTCCATGACCTTCCTTGTTTGGCTTGGCTTGATGTTGTTCTTTTCAAACAAAGCATGTAACTCATCAATCATTACTTGGCTCTCATGTGAAGACATAGAACCAAGCTCACCATCTGGGTCTTCTCCATCAATAACCCTTTTTCTAGGGTCTCAAAAGATTTTATGCTCTTTCTTCATCACTTCAAATTAGATAGGTCCACTAGACGAGCCAAAATATATTAACAAAAGTTTGGTTCAAGTCAAATCGACATAAGAGATTCGATAGAAAAACCAATTTCCACAAACAAACAATCTAATCAAGTAATGTGGTTGATGTCCTATGCCTTGACAGATTCAAGAACTTCTTTGGAGGTTATAATGTGAAGAAACATAAATAAACAAACTAGAAACATGATTAATGCCATTTAAACTTGTCACTTAATTACAAGAATTAAATTACAAGCTTCATAGCATTACAATCAACAGGTCCAAAATGGGTTACAAGAACTGAAACTACTACTACTCCTATGATAAGTTAAGCTACTCTTAATTTCACAAGTGTTGTGAATTTGGTTGAAGGTCCTTCTTTCTTCACATTTCCAGCTTTTATGTTGTTTCACTAGCCATGTTAAAAGCCATGTGTCCATTCGTTGATGTCTTCCATTTGCCCATGATCCATAACTGCTGCAACTGCCAAAAAATTCATTTTCCTTTGAAATTGACACATGTTGTGCCCCTAATCTTCCTTTCTAGGCCACTATCTTCATGTCCATGATTCTTGGACCCTTATTGTTCATGCCCACGTTCTTTAACATGCTTGTCGATAGAGAATTTGAATTTTTTGGTGCCAACACATCTATTTTCGATATGAAAGGTATGGGTACTACTGATGTAATCCTAGGCATTAGAATAATTAAAAACAAAAATGGACTTTGTCTTTCACAATCTCATTATATAGAAATATACTTAAAAAGTTTAATCATTTTGATTGTAAACCTGCTAGCACTCCTTTTGATATGAATTTGAAATTTTATACAAATACTGGTAGAGTAGTAAATCTATTAGATTATGCTAGAGTTATTGGTTGTCTTATGTATGCTATGACATCAACTAGACCTGATATTGCTTTTGCTATTGGTAAGTTAAGTAGATGAACTAGTAATCCTAGTCACATTCATTGGCATGCTGTCTGTAGAGTGCTGAAATATTTGAAAAATACTGTAGACTATGAAACACACTATTGTGGATATCCTATTGTTCTGGTGGGGTACATAGATGCTAGTTGGATTACTGAACGAGATGATCACACATCAACCAATGGGTGAATATTCACCCTTGGTAGAGGAGCTATCTCTTGGAGTTCAAAGAAGCAAACATGTATAACAGACTCAACAATAGCTGTTGAGATTGTAGCTCTAGCTACTTGTAGCAAAGAGGCACAATAGCTTAGGAATTTGTTATTGGAAATTCCTAATTGGCCAAAGGTAATGTCGCCTATATCTTTGTATTGTGATATTCAAGCAACACTGTCATGGACATATAGTCAAATATATAACGGTAAGTCTAAGCATATTGGCTTAAGGCATAGATATGTAAGACAGTTACTCACAAATTGAGTAATTACCATTGGTTTTTTGAGATCATGCCAAAATTGGGCTGATCCTTTAACTAAAGGACTTGCAAGGAATTTGGTGTGGAAAACATCAAAACGGATGAGATTAAAGTCCATAACCTATGGTCACTGTTGGTGATAATTACAAATAAAACACCAAAAAAATACAAATAATAAAAATTACAATAACTATTGTAAGGGCTGAGGCACGGGAAATTTGCTCTCTTTAAGGAGATTCAAGCCCTCTGCGGTTAGACAAAGCCTCACACCGGTGAGGCAGAAAAAACCTTGACTTGTCCCCCCAGGATACAACAGCCCGACTAAGTCGTATGGTTCACCAATACTGTACAATTGGTTGAACCCAAAGCTTTATCACATACACCATTTTTTATTTGCCTGATAATCTCACACAAGACATAATAAAGCAACCAAAACTTCTTCTCATATATCTCAAGATAGGACATAGCTCAATATATATAGAAGAAAAAGCTAGGAGGGTCTTCCTTGGTGGATAAGAAAAGGAAGACTTGGAAGACTTGAAAGGATAAGACTTGGCAAAGACTTATCTTGGAAGACTAGGAAGGATAAGACTTAGCGAAGACTTATCTTGGAAGACTAGGAAGACTTGATGTGGATAAGAATGGGGAGACTTGACCAAAACTTGGCAAAGACTTGAATGGAATATAATAATATTAAATACCTGCTAAGAGTCACTAATGATAGAACCTCAACGCAACACTTGAACTTCAAGATTTTGAGTTCAACGAGTAAAGTATATCATTTATGGTGATTGCAAGCACTAAAATTTTGCTTGTTAAAATATCCATCCCAAGGTAAATAGCGTTTGGTACCTGTAGTGTGGAAAAGAGGTTAAATGAAATTTTTTAATGGGCTTATAACTGAGGTTCTGTGGGATGCTTTATTTACAGGGGCATTTATGATAAGCCTACCTATATGAGTGTTAGGAGTGGTACCGCTTCCTATGAGATCAAGACTTATCTCTAGAGTACTCATGAAATAAGATATAGATATCAGACCAATCCACATGTCGCCTTTTTTAAATACCTAAAGGTTAGAAATTTATGGGTGACATATGTGTGGATAATTAAAGAGGATCACTGGTTCAAAGCTCATCTACTATGTCATCCTAACTAATCTTGATGTAAGTTCACTAACTGAAGGTTTAAGTCCAAAAGACACTTTCATCTATGCATAAATTTCCCAAATATGAACAGGCTTTTTTCTTTGCATTTTGAAAAAGGTAGGATAATGTTGAAATATTTTCAAATATTTAAATGTTGTTTGGGTTTATGGGTTTTTTCAGTTTTTTGTTTCTTTCTGTTATAATGAAGTCTTGTTTCACATAGGAAAGAGAGGATAAAGTTTTCCAATTTTGATTGAATGGTTAAAACAACGCTACAAAATGCGATCATGGGGTTAGATTTCAAAATTGTCGTTATGACAGTTGTAGAGTAACTATTTAGTGGCAGTTTATGATTGTTATTAACAGTTATTTTAATTCAAATTCAAAAGGAACAGTCATGTTCTGATCTATATTTAGATGATTAGGCATTCAAGAATGGGTAGAAAATATTCAGGTTACTCTTCCTGTTTTCACAAGGTTTTCTAAAGGCAATCTACTACTCTTTTTCTTCTTCTGGGTTCTGTTTTCTGCAAAAACAGAATTCCAGAACCTGTTCTACTTTGTGCATCACCAAAGGTATTTTGGGTCAATTTTCACAAAGTACAAAGCGCAGATTGATAATCAGTTTCGGCTGGACTTTATTGTATTCTAGAGACGATTTGCCATTACCCATTGTACTATTTCTAAGGGCAAATAACGTCTTAAGGACAACAACATTTGTAACGCGCCTTAAAGCGATATTTTCTATTGTTCCTAATATTATCACCATACTTGTTTCTCTAAATCTTTCAAATTAAAAGAACATATTTTGACCATTAAGAGTAGGCAATCCTTTTTCCCCTGTCATCTCACCCAAATTTTCAACAGGTTGAGTAACCCATAGCTCAAGGAGGATTGTGATGACGAGTACAAATAGTATCATGCTATGCATTCAGACACAAAAATTCAAAATTATTCAAAATTTCACTTTCATTTTATATGTAAAGCCCACGCTACATTAATTCAATCTTTACCAGTCATCATCTATACCCAGAAAAATTTGGATAGAAATGTCATGATTCATAGAGAAATTATTCAATGTTCCGGGAGCAAGTATAAGTGGTACTCCAAATCAATAGTTATTGATCCAAATCATGAGATCCACCACTTTTGTGTTAAAATTTTAAGAGATGAAGTGTCAAGTGTCAACATGTAAATAGATTAGAGAAATGCTCATGAGCATTGAATAGTTTCTCAGGTTCAAAGCATTTTTGCAAATAGTATTCATGACAGGTCATGGAGATTTGGTTTGGAGTTCACTTATTTAGTGACTTTTTGATTTTTTACAAAAAGATGTATAGAAAAATAGAGACGTAATGTAACAACTTATAATAAATGAGTAAATAAATATACTTATTTAATGCATTGCCAAACCTAAATTTGTATAGTGAGATCCATATATATAATAAATCTAAATCACAAAATGATAATTCTAAATAATTTCTGAGTTAATAAATTAAGTAGAGTACTGGATAGAATGGTACTACATCCCCCAATACATCACTCTCATTTTGACCTCTAATATGAAATAGAAGAGAGAGAATAGAGAGAGACAAGAGAGAGGAGGGATGAAGAGTGTGGATCCCCACTCAAATGATCCATTCCTTGTCAATGAGGGTGGGTTAAAAGTGTTCATTTAAAATTTTTCCTAGTGGTACATAAACTTGACTAACAACTTCAAAGAAAAACGTGGGGCGCCATGTCATCTTTCACATCAGTCTTTTTTCTCTTTTTTTACAGAACACTTTTCTCTTTTACATTAGATTTCCTGCGGCAATGATTTGTTTTGGTTCGAAGCAAGGTAGTTCAAGCGTCTATACAAAATAATTTAAATTTTACAATTTTTTTCTTGACAAATAAAAAGAAAAAAAAATGGTGCAAAACAAGAAAACTTGATCCATAAATAAACAAAGCTAAGCTACATGCAACAAACTTCATCTCTCTGAATAAAGAGTCCTCAATTCCATGTGCAAACCTGAACCTCCCATCCACAGCTGCCCCACATAGAGATAACCAGGCATCAATAACCACACACATACACACACGGAGAGAGAGAGAGAGAGAGAGGTGTGTCATACCTGCTTTGGAAATGGGCTAATGAATTTTAGTGGTAGTGAATCTCATGCGATGTAGATAATCGTGTCAGTCGTAACGGCTTAGAAAATGTATTATACTGGGATATACTTGGTCCACAGCCTGCATTTTGATTGAAAAATATTGAAGCTGTTAAAAACTTAGCCAGTATAAACAAATTAGCAAAGACGATATTTTACCATCCTACAGAAGAGAAAAGAAGAGAAAAATGTGCATACCAATCTACCTCCCACCAAGTCATAATGAGCGTAATGCGGGCCTTCAGGTTCTCCAAATACTTCATAGGTAACTAAGTGCTCGGGGATGAGCTTTACAGTTTCTGTTCAAAAGATAACAAGCCAGAAAAATAAAATAGATAACATCTATAACGTCCATGGAGCAATATGTGGATTAAATCTACTTGAAATGTACCATAGACAGCTTCTGGTGGGCAAATTAGGTCCTCATCTCCAGCAAGGGCTAAGATGGGAACTTTGCTTTTATGTAGATGATCCTTGTAGAAAAATTTACCACTTCTATCACAGAGCCCACCTTCTCGAAAAGCAGTTGTCAGCTGCAAAATCAATTTAGCAGGAATAGTACCTGCAAGTTGTCATCAAACCCTATCAAGATCCCCTCAACATTAATTATCATCTTGTCTTTGTTTGAATAGGTCAGGCATAGAATAATATAACAGGAACACTCCGTAGATCACCATGTATAAAGATCATAATCCAAAGATCACCACTAGATGGATTAGGTTAAACAATGTCAAAGTTAGGATTCGACTCAGTTAAGAGATATACTCAAGCAATTGAAAGGCTTGAATTATATCAAGAAATTATAATATGTAATGAATTCAACGATTAAGAATAAATGAATCACAGCGGTTCAAACAATATCCTAAATGCCACAAATATATCTAGAAATGAATTTAGTTGAAGCCCATTAAATAACAATTTGTGGTGCATTGCACTATCTCATCGCTGTTCTGCTTGATTTGAAGGGCACATTCTTTATCACAAATCGTAACATATTTTTCCATGAACCCATTTGTTGTGTCTTTGGCCGTTCTACGTTCTTATAGCGCCCTTAAATGTTGACAAGTATGATTCTGTCAAACTTCCATTTTTTATGGTAACAACTAGGAACGAAAAGGGACCACAACCCTCATGAATTTTTGATAACTTCTATGTACACTCTCTGGCACTAAAAGAAAATTACATAGAAGCCCGCAGTCTTGAACAACCACCCCCAAGTCTTGTATATACACTAAAATCACCTTCTAAATATTACAACAACCCCCCCCCCCCCCCCCCAAAAAAAAAAAAACCCTCAAACTCAACCGACTCACCTTCCTTTCTTGAGGTGAATTTCTGGATCTGTCCCTGGTAACAACCAAACAGTTTCAGGTAAGTTTATCTTATCTTCCAGTTAGTTATTCATATTGCTTATGTGGCCCCATGATCTTCCTGCCTTTACTGTCATTTACCTCAGCATTCTCATTCTATTTGGATTTATATTTATTAATATGTTTACTAAGTGACCTTAATTTTGTATTAAAGCTGCAATTAGTTGCGACTCCAGTGATTTTGTGTGTGTGTGTGGCTGGCAAATAAGCTTTTATTACCAAAAAGAAAGACATGCAACAAAGCTCAAGACACAACCCAGTCACAACCCCATAGGATCTACAAAGATGCACCCTGATGGCACACGTAACATAAGAAGGCAAAAACAAGGACCTAGCCAACCAAAAAAATAAAAAATCCCCACAACCCAAGAGGCTAGGCCTAAAAAGCACAGACAATAACACACCAACACGGTAATTTTAAAAAAATGCAAGACACAACACATGGGGAACACATACAAAATATATAATTTCATACATTTATTATATGCATGGTTGTTAAAATTGTATGATTCACGATTCGATATGAGATTCAACAAAAATAATTCAAATCATGCTATTGAATCGAAAATTGAGTAAAATGTACTATTCAATTTATGATTCATTACCATTTACACGATTCACTGTGATTCAATACTATTTATATTTTTGTTTACATAATGCATGAAACATCATCTCTTTCGCCAAACTATGAAGATATATAAAAGAGATTAATTAATTATATTGATATACGTGAATTTATATATATATATACACATATATATAGTTTAGTCTTATTGATAATTTACTTTATTTTAAACACACTATGTATTTTTATGTATATAAATATATAGAATTATATATTATATTAAATTAAATAAATCTTACGATTCACGATTCGATATTTTAGCACAATGATTCACGATTCAATTGGCAATTTGACAACATTGATTATATGTATTAAAAGATAATTACAAGATACAACATGGCACTAATTTCTAAATTTTAATGGATGAGGGATTAACAGGTATAAATGTATATTGTTTTTCATTTATCATTAGATCTAATATTATTTTGTTTAAACTTGTAATGAGTTTCACATATGTCCAAGCAATGAATATGTGTGTCCCCAAAGTGTTTGAAGCATATCCAGTTTTAAATTTTTTTTAAAAATAATTGGACGCCTTTGGTCACGTGTTTGACATGTGTTGAGAAGATAGTGTCAATGTCCGACCACCTACTTAGAAATATTTGTGCTTCTTGGGGCTAGGCCACTCATCAAAACAAAATAAAAATCTCCTAGCCAAAGAAACTAAGGTGGGTTATGCTCCCCTTCCTTGGTTGAGAGCTTTTGCGCTTCTTTTGTGATGTAGAAAATGTGATCTTCTCTATTGTACCCTTTATCTACAAGCTTTTTCCTATTCCCATCCTTCAATAAAGGAGTGCACTCTCACTCCTTAACAATTTTCGCCTCATTAGTTGGAGAACATATTCCTTTGTCAACCATTCTCCTTGATCGACACACATTTTCTAGATCTTTACTGCATGATTCAAGTACATCAAACACATTGGTGCTATTAGAAGCCCCATAAGCCTCCACATCAAAAGGCTTCTCATTTGACAGGGATTCACTCTTTTCTTTTCTTTTCCTCTTTGTAATTTCTATCTTAGTAACAGGAATCGTCTCAGATGGTGATGACTTTGAGGAAGAAGTGCGATTCTGCGCTTCTAAGGAAGAATCATAGCAGAATCGCGAATCTGAGGAGAGGGAAACACAAATCTGATGCGAGAAGGAAGCACTATTGAGAGGGCAAGGAGAGAACTTGGTCGCTGGCTTCGATCCTCTGTTCAACAACTTCGATCTCACGCCCTTTGACTTCCCTTTCGAATTCAACGAGCATGGCGTGGCCCCTTCGACTTCATCTTCAACGAGCACTACTATAGACGAGCTTCGATCTATCTTCACTGGCTTCTTCTTCAATGATCTTTGATCTATCTTCTCTCTCTTTCTCCCTCCCTTCTCTGTTTTCTCTTCTTTTCTCATCTCTTCTCTCTGATTTATAATTTGTTCTCTCTCTCTCTCTCTCTCTCTCAAAAGATATTTAATTAATATATGTCATATATCAATAAAAATAACCATTTATAAATCATATTTATTTATAATATATATGTCAATTAAAAATAAAAAATATATATAAATAAATTAAAAATATTATCAATAAAAATAATATATAAGATAAAAAAATAATAAATATATTTAAATAAAACATAAATGTTGTTTTATTAAATAAAATATAATAAATTTTATTCAAAGATAATGACTAGTGTTCTAAAAAATATCACTTCACTACTTTTATTTGTTATTCATTTTTAAAAATATTTTTTATGTTATATTTAATTAATTAAATATTACATAAAAATAAAATTTTTCTAACATATATATGTTAATTAAATTATTTTTTTTAAATGTTTATATAGATAAATTAAAAATATTTCAATAAAAATAATATATAAGCGCTCCCAAACTACAACTCCTTTACATGGCCACGCTTCCCCGCTCCCGCTCCCGCTTCGTGCAACTAAAGATTGAATCAATTTCTAACCTGGTACAATTGTTACTTCCCCAAAAACATATTTAGGGATACCAATCCCTTAGAAACCAAATATTTAGGCTGTGTTTGGTTGTGATTTCAAAATGTAATTCAACGTGGTAGTTTGAGTATGTTGTTTGGATGGAGCTGTGGAATTAATTTTCCACGGCTCTGCAAAACGCTCTGTCTGTTCTGTCAAAACTGAGCGCGTGTTTCAATTTTTTTTTTTAAAATGGGACGTTCGGCCGGTCGTTCGGCCGGTTGACGGGAATAGTGATTTTTTTTTTTTTTTTCGCAATTGATATATATCGAAAAAAATATTTTCTGAAATTTTTAAAAATTTTTATGTGCTTTAAAATAATTTTGAGTTATATGAGTTATAAATTTTTGTATCAAATTTCAAATGTCACATCAACAATTCTCCACTCAAATCAAAACTCTTTTCAAAACTATTTTCAAAACTCTTATCATAATTCCACAACACACAAACTCAAAATACAACTCATACTCTCAAATCACATTTACAAAACTCTACCAAACACTACCTTAGTTTCTATACAACCAACCTCCGTACAAATATTTGTTGTAGGTAGTGGAGGCTAAATTTCTTGGAACGATTTGGCTGACTGCGCCCAGAGAGAGAGAGAGAGAGAGAGAGAGAGAGAGAAGAGGCAATGCTTACCAGGTCGAAACTAACCAACTAACTTCAACTGCTCAGTGCTCATGACGATGATACTAAATTATTTCAAAACCTAACCCCTTTTCTGAGTATTCAGTCACTACTCACTCACTTCTTATCACTTCTCTCCTACAAATTTTAAAAATTGCTATCCCACCCTCCCTCACACCTGTCCTGTCCTCACCATGGTCACTGGTTCGATGGAGGCTCCGCCACTGGCCATTCTAAACTGTATTTGCGGGTGGGCATGAGTCGGGATGGCAATCTGAAACCGGTCCGCTGGGCACCCGACTTCCCGATCCTGAATATAACGGTTATTTTTTGAAAAATATCCCCGATGGGCTGGGGATGGTGATAAAAAAAAAATTCCCAATGATATTCGGGTCAGGGACGGGGATACATGTTTCAGTCCAGGCCCGCCCCGGCCCCGGCCCCGAGCCCCGCCCCGTTTGTCCCCCGAATGATTTATATATTATATATATATATACTTTATCTTTGATTCATCTACTCTCTCTCTCTCATTCATGTCTTTTGTCTCTCTCTCCCTCACTCACGTCTCTCATCTCTCTCATCTCACTACTTCTCCCATATCTCTCTCCCTCACTGCTTCTGATCTGTTCTCACGCCTCTCATCTCTTTCGTCTCTCTCTCCCTCACTCAGGTCTCTCATCTCTCTCATCTCACCGTGTCACAGCCCCGTATTCAGGACAAGTTTGAAGATGGACAGATCTGCTGGACAGACCGTGATATGAAGCTACCGATGGACAGATCTCTCTCATCTCCGATCGATCTGAAGCTAACGATCTGGATCTGGACAGACCGTGGTTCGATCTGCAGAACAGAATCCCTCTCTCTCTCTCTCTCTATCGTTGATGATCAATTTTTTTTTAAAGTTATATATATGCATCTGTTGTTATATATATATATATATATATGTATCTGTTGCTGTTGGTGATGGTCGATCTGAACAGTTCTTGTGTGTGTGTGTGTGTGTGTTGAGAAGTGTCGGGGATATTTCGGGGTCGGGGAAACCCGATCCCCGTTAGGGGATGGGAGTGGGGGAGGTGATGAGTTCCCCGTCGGGGATCGGGGTCGGGGCCGGGGAGATTTTGGCAATCAGGGATCGGGGACGGGGAGGGTGATCCCCGGCCCCGCCCCGCCCCGTTGCCATTCCTAATTGCTAAAGCACCTTGAAACACACCAAGTAATTATCTGCTCTAAGGTAATACACCACTAAGATTGCACTGTGTGCAGCAATCTGTGGGTGTCTGACATATCAACCTCAATAAATGACACTAGAAACAGCTTTCTCAAATCAATAAATCCATCTTAACCTCTAAATATACTATCAAGTAGAAAATAGCACTAGAGTTCATTTTGGCACTACCCCATCTAGTCATCTTTCAAGTCATTTTCTTGCCAGCAGCTTTGAACATAAAAGAAAATGAGCATCCTGCCAAGACGTATTAGTCCAAGTGTTGGATGCAGCTAATATTTCATTTTTAAAATGGCTTAGTGATAAATGATTCCAAAGCTAGCAACAGCTGACACAGGCACTGCATCATATTGGAAAAACTAACAAATATGAAAATATAACTACCTATATGTATAAATATATGTGATTTTAAAAATGACATTGAGAATGAGGCTTTAAGTTTTTGGATGATGATGATGGCTTAGAATTATTAGCAAAATTCTACAACACAATTGCAAACCTAAGAAAATGCCTAATAGAAAGAAAAATACCCTCATTATCAAAGAATGAGATAATATTCAGAGTATGATATTGGAACTGTCACTACTATGCAGACTCCGTTTGAAGCAAAAGGGCTTATGTTGGGTCGACTGCATTTGTTTTGTTCTTGCAAAGCTTACCATATTTGTTCAACCATTTTGATATGGCACCAGAGTGATAATGGTAAGAAACTACCAAAAGTTACTGTTTAAATTTTCTTGGGACAATTGTCAAAAATAAGGACAGCTCAAATAGGACATTAACAACATACGTAAGTTAAGTGAAGCAAACAAATGCTGGCAAAATGCTGTGTGAATGTCAAATAATTACCTGTAAAACTAAATGAAAGTTTCCACCAATTCATTTATTGTCATAGTATCACAACTCACAAAACATAACAAGTGATGGCAGATAAGATAACTAGGCAAGTGATACCATCTTACCACATCGTGACAGCATAGCATACAGCAAGATACCTCCCATAGAGTGTCCAATTGCAAGCAATTTACCATCCTTCGGTTTGGTTTGGGCCCTTATATATTCCATCTGCAACATATAAGTTAAATATTTACTCATTATGCAGCATATATGCATAATTAGTTTATCCAACATAAAAGATATTAAAGATAGTTTCAAAAAATAATGCACCCAAGACGATCAAAATTAGATGGTCAAATGAGAAAAGAGTAATTGTAGTTACAGTCTTCCAGCAAGGAGAAAAGTCACCTCACCGCAGCAGGAAGTGTCCAATTGCAAGCAATTTACCATCCTTCGGTTTGGTTGCCCTTATATATTCCAGCGCGGCAGGAATGTCCTCTTCCAGGTAGTGATCAAAGTCCCAATCATACTGGACCATTAAGTCAAGTTGCTTCTGGAAATCTTCAATTGTTGTGAAAAACTGCTCTTGTAGATTAAACAACTGAGGTGAAACAGAACGCTGACTTTCTTCAATAATATTTACAAGCTTTTGACTCAGATCCCTGATTTGGCTAGCCACAGCAGAAGTTTGCCTTGCTTCTAACAAACTTGAAAGTTTTCCTCTTATCTCGTTAAAGCGTTCATATAGAAAAGAGTCCTCCAAGAGTCTTGATATTTGATCGAAAAGTTTTGCATACATAATTTTTGATTGTCCTTCACTGAGAAAGCCAGAGAGTCTTTCTGACAGACGCATAAAAGTTTCTGTCAACTTTGTCACTAGTCTTGATTCATCCCATACAGTTGCCATCCCTGTTGGGTCCCCTTTGACAACAGAGATATCAGATTCTGCCTTTGCACTGGAGATATTGGTTGACTGCTGTTCTGCAGGAAAAACTCCATCCGTTGCAGTCACAGCAGTAGCTTCCATCATATCAGATATTGCATGGGCAGACTTCTCAATTTCTTTCAAATCTGATCCCTGCATGCTCAACCCAGCACCTCTAACCTCAAGGACCCATGTGTCAAATCCTTGACCACACATGTAACGGGCAAATGAAGACTGCAAACATAATTAAGTACCCATTAGCCTGCATCTAAGAAGTTATAAATGAGAATTTGGAAGGGATCATTCTGTGAACTACATTACCAAAAGAATCTGAGAAAAGAATTGGATATAAAATTTGCAAGCCAACCCAGCTGAAAATCTGACGAGCTTAAGCGCTTAAGATGTTATTTAATAATCATAGCCAGCTAAAACTTAGTTGTATTTAGATGCTACGCTCCAAAATTGTATTTGCATCGTCTTATGTTTGGCAGTCTGGGCTTGTAAATTTAGAGGCTTGACAGTTTTGTAGCTTGGGTGCTTGGTTAAGAACCAGCAAAACTCAACTAGGTAAGCAAGACTGAGTTGCTTCATGTAAATTTGACATAAAATAATTGGCGGTTTTTGAAGTTGTAATGTGGTGTATGTATGTGGGAGCTTTTAAGTTTTATGGGAAACAGCAAGATATCACGAACTTTGCACAGGTTCAGCTAATAGAATGAGAATATTTTGAATAGAAACAGGAGCAAATGAGGCACTTAGAGTTTGTGGAAAGAAAATGAATTGCTCCTTTCTCTCTGAAAGGAGAAATTTACAGCTAAAATGGTACATAAGACAAGGGGTTTGAGTTGAAACAAACTGTCATGGTTAAAAATTAAAATCTAGAACTTGAAACAAGGAAAAGGGTACATAAATATGAAGTTCTTCATTGATAAGAAATGAAAAACATCAATGAAACATACCACCAATTCAAGATTGATCAACAGCTTGTTTTTCAAAAGACATATGGTCATTAACCCCAAGGGATTGGCTTGGTGGCAAGGCCTTGGGTTTTGGGGGTGTGCTTCTTCCAAGGTTCAAGGGTCAAAACCTCTTGAGTGCTAACAATTCCTTGGAGTCATCAGACTGGGGGAAAACCCTTGAACTAACCGTGGTACACTTGCAAGAAACTCCTTACGAAGGGCCTATGCACCCTTGGGAATTAGTCAGGTTTTGATCCGGACACCTCAATGCCAATCAAAAAAAAAAAAAAAACAAAGACCTATGGTCATCTAACAAGATATACTTTGAGAAGTTTTATGTATTGTCATGTAGGCCATATTTAGATGGTCATAGCATTAACGAGATATAAACCAAAAAAATCATCAGATGAAGAAGCCTTTCGCAGGGGACAATTTTCAAAAGCAGTCATGTTCACTACAAAGACGGTTTGTTGCCCAATAAATTCACTAGCTTTCACTGAAAAAAGAAAAAAAAATGGAAGAGTTCTAAGGTATTGCCTTTTACTGTTGACAAAGTTTGCATCAGACAGTGATCACTCTCATGCTAGTGGTTTTGTTTCTCTTATGCGGTTATTCAGAACCTTTTACCATCCTAATATCTGGCAACATGAAAAATACATCCAAAAAGTCCCTTCAACAGTTGCTTTCTTTGTCTCAACTTAATTGTAATAACAAAATTGGACAACACATGTCCTTTATGTTGATCAGCATGAAAGCAATTGACCGAATATTGCTGATTCACCTATTCCACCAAGTCACTATATCAAATGAAAGTTTGATAAGTAGTGGTCCTAGTCATGGGACTTCTCATTCATGGGTAGTTGAAACATTCATTAAACTAACAAGTTGAAATTCTGAAGTTCTCATAGCAACATAAAGTAATTCAACAAATTATATACAAAAGCATCCCTGAAAACTATGTGCCACAAGAGGACAATTTTCCATTGCATTTGATGCTTTTTGGTTGTGTATATGAGTACTAATTAGCTGCAATTTTGGCTCATTAAGCACTAAAGTACTTCTAAATAAGTGCAAACAAAGATAGATTTGACTATAAATATAATTGTACACATTAATGCACATCTTACATTTTGAGGAAAAAAAAAAATCACCACCATAAATGTATTGGGTACAATACAACAGTCCAAAATATACATAAATAAATAAATTTAAACAACAATCTGAATTTCAAAACAATGTATTGCTAGATTTGAAGTTGGATTACAGCACTAGCAAATTCGATGTGCTGAATTTCACAACAGGGGATTTTCCAAATTTCATCTGCCTATAGTTTGAACAAATTACAACAGATTAAAATTAATTGTAGTGTTCATCACTCACTATCATATTTCTCAAGTGATCTAATTTTATTTTGTTTTTTCAAATACTCTTACCAAATTTTAGTTGCACATATAACTATAATTGAAACCAATTCCGATATAGAGAGAGAGTAAACTAACTAACCCCGGGAGAGAGGTCGTATCCAATGGCATTAGTTCCCACACCAGACAACAGCAACAGCGGATGATTCCTCGGAGGAGCCTATACATACATACATACATACATATACATCAAATCAGAACAACCTGAACAATATCTCAAAAAATCACCTCCAATGAAAATCAAATTTCGACTACATATTATAAATACCTGAGGGGGAGGGGTGTAGCGCCAGAGAGCGAGCCTCCAATCGGAATTGGACACGGAGACGTAGTGAAGCTCGTCGGCCGTACACACCGAAGGCTTGTTCGAGACCTTCTCGACGACGGCTGTGGTGGAGGTAGAAAAGGATCTCGCCGTCGCCGTCAGCGTCGGCACTGGAGGCGGTGGGCGGCGTAGGGCGGCGACGCCGCGAGAGACGAAGAGAAGGTTGGGTTTGAATGTGGAGGCGATCTGAAGCGCCGAACGTAAATCTGATTGAAACATTGACGAAGTAACCATTCTTTTGAGTATTACGTCTTGGTGAAGAGATGCGTCTTCTACGATGATTACAACTTATATGGAAATGCGATCAGATTGTTTTCTTATTCGTTTTTTTTTAAGTTTGGTTGGAAAATGGCTATCATAAATTATTATGTCTCAGTCAATCATAAATTATTATGTTTTTTTAACATTTTTTAATTATTTAATATAAAATTATGAATCTTACTTTTTCATCGATCATAATAAGGCTTACACCATCTCCAACAGTTCACTAAACCTGACATCAAATTTGAAAATTGGTGAAAAAGTTACTGTTTGAAACTCCAATGGTTTTACCAAATCGGTATCAAATCCAGAATTCACTAAACATTTCACCAAAGTGAGAACACGCCCAGATTTCAGCAAATTACTGTTTGTTACCGTTGGAAGAGAGGAACCGATCGACCAGCCAGTTGCCCGACCGGTTGACCAACCGGTCGACCACTAAAAAGTTCAAACAGTTCAAATTTATAAGTTTAAACAATTCAAAAAAAAAATATTTGCCTTACCGGTCGACCACTAAAGGGTTCAAACAGTTCAAACAAAGGTTCAAACAATTTAAAATATATATATTTTTTTTTTTTTTTTGCCCTTACCGGTCGACCAACCAGTTGTCCCGGCATAGATTTGATGAAAGTTCACCGTTGGAGCCAGTAGTATCAAATTGAGAAAATCATCCTTTTTTTTCTCAAATTTGATGAAAAAAGAAGTTCACCGTTGGAGATGCTCTTAGTTTGGCATACTAAAAAAAAGTCAAAAAGTCACTATTCTATTTAAGTCACATCATCTTATTTAAGTTATATTATCTCTCTACCACATCACTTCAAACCCACTTCATACCCAACCCATATTTTATAAAAAGTCAAAAAGTACACTTATTTAGTTTATCCCAAACAACCTCTAAGTTTGCTATTAACTTTTTTTTTAGTCAATTTTTGTATGTTGAGACTTTTTTAGTTTCGTTTGATTTTTATTTTGGGTTTTTTTTAACTTTTGTTAAAAAAATATATAATGATTATGGATAAAAAGTAATATTTTGTCTTATTGACTTTTATAATTAATTTTGTCTATTTATAATTATTTAACTCCAATACAAATGTCAACATAGACATAGAGACTGATTCCCAAACTGCAATGAAGCTCAACCATGAAGGAGCTAAAAGATCATCTCCATGCAGAGCTCTGATCAAGGGTGCTAATTTCATGCTGCGAAGATGTAAATGCAGCATCCAATACATCCCAAAAGAAGCAAATCTATGTGCTGATGCTCTAGCCAATCTTGAAGTCAACCAACCCGAACACCAGGTGTTCTTAGATGAACCACCCATCTCTATCTTTTCCCTTCTTATAGTAGACATGGTTTCTGATAACTCCACGAGGGTCTGATCTCCTCTGTTTATGTGGTGTATGAACTAATACTTCTCTGTTTACTTTCATTTGAATCAAAAAAATAAATAAATGCCAAACCAGAGCGAAGTGTGAAATGTTACATAACGTTGTCCCTCAACCAATCAATAACTTCTCATCTTGGAATAATTTGGCTAAGAATAAGAATAATGATAAGAAAGTGAATTTTTTTTTTTTAAATGTTTAATTTATAAATTGAGTGAAAAATGATGGGAAATAATGAAAAATAGTGAGATAGGAGATTTTCTTGTTATTTCAGGTAAATTATTAATAAGTCATAATAGTTGGATTGAAAATAAGTTCTAATAAAAGTATCACTAAAAATAATTTTTTGTAAGGATTTTTTACATATTTCGCTAAAAATCGATAATTAGTGATTTTTTTGTCATGATTTTTATAAATTATTGCTAAAACTTATAATTAGTGAAAATTTTCTATGGCGAATTTTTCAAAATGTCGCTGAAATTTGAAAATTAATGATTTTTTTGTGACGATTTTTTAAACTATTGCTAAAACTTATAATTAGTGATATTTTTTTGTGACAAGATTTTCAAACTATCATTGAAAATTAACAATTAACGACGTTTTTTAATAGTCTTTGATGAAAAACATCATTAATTATCATATAAGACATATTGGAAAATAAGTCCACCTATTAAAACTTGCACATAAGTCCCTCTTTTATTTTTGAGTTTGTCTTCTCTCAAAGCATTTGGGTATGGTAGGTTCATTTTGGAATCAATTATGATAATTTGAACTGTTCACATTTTTAGACTTATATTGAATAAAATATTAATTTTAAAAATAAAATGATTGAATATCAATAACTATATTTGAATCATATTTGTTTAAAAAAATGAATGACAAATATAATTTAAAAAATAGTCATCTTTTTTTAATATAAACTTTATTCAAACATATAGCTACTAATATCCGATTATCTTTATTTTTTATAAAAATATTCTAGTCAATGAAGCTTAAAAAGTGAACGGTTCACATTGTCGAAACAGAATCTATGGTGGATTCCATGTATCTCTTAAGTTCTCTCATATTGAGATCTCAACATGAGAGAAGCTCAACTCTTATTTTTCATCAAAAAGTTGTCAAATTTAGTAAGAAATAAATTGATTAGTTATAAAATATTTATCTTAATGACATATTTTAAATTGTTACTAAAACTTATAATTAGTGACATTTTTCGTGTCAAGATTTTCAAACTATTGTTAAAAATTAACAATTAATGATGTTTTTTAACAGTGCTTGATGAAAAACGTCATTAATTATTTTAAGACCTATTGGTCAATAAGCCTACTTATTGGAACTTACATGTAAGTTCCTATTTTATTTTTGAGTTTGGCTTCTTTCAAAGCGTTTAGTTTTGGTAAGTTTATTTTGGAATCAATTTTAATAATTTAAACTATTTACATTTTTAGACTTATATTGAATAAAATATTAATTCAAAAAATAATATGATTGAACATCGGTAACATTTCAGCGTATTTTTTTCAGCCTCAAAGTATCTCTTTTACAATTAAAAAAAAAAAATTAGATTTGAGAAATAATTAATAATTTTTTTTTAAAAGAGAATATGGAAAAGCAAAAGAGCACTTCTTAGGTAGTTCAATCGCCACGTCATGTAATGTCGATGTGGGTCCAATAAATTGGACTTTTTAGTTAGGTTAGGTTCTAGAATATGTCGTGTTTTTGAGAAATTAGTGAAAAAATATTTTTTTTTTGTTTTTTATAATTTTTTAGTGATTTTTTTGGTTAAAAAAATTGATTTTTTTGTGTCTTTTTTATATAAAAAAGTTAAAAAGTCAAAAAAATAATTTTTTTAGCAAGTTGCCAAAGACTCCTATGTGTATGCTGCTAAATTACAATTTACAGGATTTGGAGAATCCCTCATCTGCCTACGAATTTATTAGAAAATGTTTGGCAACAATTTAAAAAAATTAATTCTTGGTTAAAAAAATTATAAAGCTACTAAATTATTCCTCATCAATTAAAAAGTTTAAATGTCATTTAAAAAAAAGTAAGTAGGATTTCCTTTTTGAAAAAAATAAAAAAATATATTGTATTTTTGAATTTATTTTATTTTATTTTTATACTTTTTTAGAATATTTGACATAAATTTTAGATTTTTTTTTTTTTAACTCCCTCATCATATGTCCTTATTTCTTTGCGCAGGAGTTGGTATTTTGAGTAGATTTTAATTCATACAATATTGGAGTGAGATGATTCAAGTGGCATTATAAAGTTAAAGCTTACAAATGTTTGTCCAACAATAATATATTTATTCATCCATATTAGGGATCAAAAATGAGAAAACATTTAAGGGAAAGAATCTGAAAATCTGTAATCATGATCGATTACCTGCATCAACTAAAAAAATTCATCTCATTCATTTCAAATATAAATAATGCAAAATTTGTGTCTGGATTAAAGCCTTAGAAACCTAGTTTCAAATAGAACTAGCCTCTTATCAAAATTTGCAGTATAAAGTGAGATATGAATAAAAGATCAGATATTATAAAATTTGACATGTTAAATTTTTTATTTTATTTTTTAATAATGAGTAATTGTATTTATAAGCAAATTCGTAAATAACCGGGGAGGAAATACTTGTGTTTTCTCTGCAAATAGAGAGGTCAAAGTTGATCAAAGAGGAGGACAACAAGAGAAGAGTTGTAGAAAATTAATCAAGGAGAAATTATGTTCCAAACTCTCTTGGAATGAGAGTTCAAGTCAAAGATGATAACTTTCAAATCATGTGCAGCTACACTTTTCATTCTTAGGGTTTAGATAAAATCCTCTTACAAAAATGTTTATGGTTTGGTAATTAGTTCTTGAGTTGTATTATATTTAAATCATAATTGTATAATATTTAAAGATTTTTGCATGCATTGATTATTTCATTTATGTATTTGATTTCTGTGATTTCAAATATGTAGTTATGCAATAATTTTATATGTGTGTATATTGGAATCACAAGATAGATCATGTTTAAGGAAAACGGACAGTTATATGGTAGTAGTTTTAGGATAGGTTTGGCATCCCTCAAAAAAGTAAAAAAGTCACTATCCTATTTAAATTATATCATTTTATTTAAGTCATATTACCTCTCTAACATATCACTTCAAACCCAACTCATATTTCATAAAAAGTCAAAGTACATTTATTTAGAACATGCCAAACAATAAGACTGTCGTACTAATCAATGATGCTCTATATCTAGAGTTTCAGTATATGAATTTTCTAAGTGATCATATTAAAAATTGTAATCATAATTATCCAACTTATTAATTTCCAAGAATAAATATAATTGCTCTGTGTTATGCGAGTAGCGTTTGACTCGAACACACTAAAATTCTCCACAACTAAACCCTATCATTCTTTTTAGTGACACTCTTATATTTACTTCTAATTTTCATTAAGTTTACACTATTAACCTTTTTTGATAAAGTAAAAATAATTTTTGATTTTAAACATTTTAGTTAATATAGTTCTTATAGAACGATACTCGTACTTAATCTATTATATTCTTAATTTTTCATAGCTACAGGTTACAAGTTACTAGTTTTCCAAACAATCAATTCAGTTCTGCTGGAGACCCCCAGCAGAACACGACCCCTAGCACCCCCACTTCCACGTGGGGGGCAGCCATTGGCTGAAACC